TTGAGGTATTAAGAAAATCATTAACTTCACTAAAAGTAAAAACTATAATGTCCGATTTTGAAATAGCTGCCATAGCAGCCTCAAAGCTTTTGTTTCCACTTGCAACTAATAAAGGATGTTACTTCCATTTCAAGCAAAGTATTTACAAAAAAGTTTGCTCCTCTGGACTGTATGACAGCGACGTGACATTTCAGTCGGAAATTAAAATACTGATCGCTATTGCTTTCGTACCCGTAAATCATGTGTGTTATGCATTTGATTTAATTGCAAAAATGCTTTCTTACCCGTAAATCATGTGTGTTATGCATTTGATTTAATTGCAAAAAAGGGTATCATCCGACATGAAGGAAAAGTTATTTTGAATTACTTTGAAGATACATGGGTGGGCCGCCGCGAAAGGCTTAATGAAAGAAAGAAACCAAAATTTGAGCATCAGCTATGGAATTTTAACGATATTACATTGACCGGTCAACAAAAAACCAATAATATAGTTGAATCGTGGCACAGAAGTATAAACCATCAATTTTCAGCTAAGTTTGCTGGAAGTTTCTCGAAGGTATTCAAAATGAGCAGGGGCTGACGGAAATGAAAATATCTCAGAGGATGTGTGGCGTAACAATTTTAAAGCCAAGAAAGGCCGAAAGTCATTCAGAAAGGTTAAAGACGCTTGTAAGCAACTTTCAAGACAATTGACCATATGGAAGAAATGCGGTCGATGTTGCCAATGGTAAAAAAATAAAATTCCCTATTGGGAACATTCAATTATATTACGTTGGCTACATTGAAAATTTGAATTTCCCGCACAAACTAAATTAATTTCCATCTTTTTTTTTTATAATAATAAATAATATAATTCCCACATTTGAAATTCGCACCTTAATTTATTATAAAACATTGGAACTACCTTCTTTATCTCTGGGAACTACTAGAATGTATGTCAGTTTGTGCGGGAAATTCAAAATTTCAGTGTAGCCAACGTAATATAATTGAATGTTCCCAATAGGGAATTTTATTTTTTTACCATTGGCAACATCGACCGCATTCCTTGCATATGGTCAATTATCAAAATGAACCACATATTCTATTAAATTATTTAAAATCCATAGCTTTTATTCTATAAGTAGGTATTTATATTTTGTTTTAATTTTTAATAAAGCTAATTTTTTATTTAGTACCTGGGTTTATTATTCTTAATTTTATTTTTAGAATTAATGTGAAACTAAACCATATTTTCTTATTTTGAATTTGATATTTTGTTTAAATATTTTAATTAATCGACATACTATTTTAATCATACATTTTAATTTTCGAAATTTTATTTATTCCATATTTTCAAATCGATATTTTAATTTTCGATATTTTAATTAGTCGACATTTTCAAATTGACATTTTAATTTTCGATATTATCATTTTCGACATTTTGATTTTCGACATTTTGTATTTTCGATATTTTGATTTTCGATAAAAAAAGTTTCGATATTTTGAATTCGATATAATGAATTTTGATATTGTGAACGTCACCCGTTAAAAGGGGATCTTTCAAAACAGTTTAAAATTTTTTTGTAAAATTTTGGTAAACCAATAGAGAAGAGAGTTAGGACATTTTAAAAAATATTTTTGACATCTACCCCCTATCTCTATTATGGGCGGGGGGTAACTTTTTAATAGGGATGATGTACCTAAAAAAAATCGAATATATGTATATATATGTATACATGTAAAAAACTAGGCATGTGCGCTTTCGCTTACAGAATTATGATTTATTAAATTAGAATTACTAAATTATTAAAAATGACGAATAATGAAAAGGTAATTGCTCAATGCATTCATACCTCATCATCGTTTAAAATTTTTATCAATGTTTTATAGATAGTTTAAGAGATAATGATTTTTCAATCAAACGTTGCAGAAATGTTCGCAGAAAATCGCACATTGTTAATGAATTTTTTCAAAATTATTAATACTAACTAACCAAAACTAATTATTTCATTTTTCTTTTAACTTTAAAAATCTTAGGCTCATTTGAGAAATTTTGACTCACTTACATCTCTTGTAAGATGAGACTGATTAACTACACTTAGCAGAAAAAGTATTGCATAACAAGTAAAAAAACAACTCTAAAACGCCTTTACCAATAGGGAATTTTTTTTTGAAGTAAATAAAGAATATGCTGTTAATGACCGTATTTTTGTTAGTATACCCTGAAAATTTCGCGCTCCACTGTTTAGTCGATCGCGCTTTTAAAAAACTTGTTAAATAAAATTTAATTATTGTGCACAACTACATTGATAGTGTTTAACATTTCATTGTCCTTTTTTAATGATAATATTTTTTTACTGAAACAAAAAATATAGGTATTTAAACATGCTGCATTGCATTACCATACATGTAGGAGGTACTATCGAACCCACAAATTTTCTTTACCTTGTGGTTATATATAATTATGTTGACAATGCTTTTTATTATGATTTAAAATTAATTGTTTGAAAAAAATACTAAACCAATATTTGTAATAAAAAAATAATATAAAAGAAATTGATGGGATATTATTATTATAAATAAAACATCTTGTTTCGGAGTTTCAATTAATTTATTTTATAATTTTTATAACCCTATTTTTTAAACTATTCGTCACCTGAGTATTGGTTTGTGCCACAGGTCTGTGGTTTGTGCTATCTCCATTTTTTACCATTTTGAGGTTTATGCATTTTCGGAAAGTTGAAGTTGGTTTGTTCCATCTCCATAATAGTATTTTGTTATAATTGTGTCAGTTTTTAGTTTAGGTTAGTCTAAATCCGAGTTTAGTATACAAGGTTAAAAATTGGTTTACTCTATCTCCAAAATTTCGCTTATAGGCTTTCTTTTGCTCTATGTGTTTGTAAAAATCTGAAAATAATTAGTATTTGTTTATGCTATATCCATATAGAAAAAATATTTTATAACTGTTTTGTGCTATCTCCAAGGAAAGCTTCCTTACAAGTATAAAATTGTTTTGTTCTATATCCACTTTAGCCAGTACACGTTTTTCACTCATTTACATGTATATGACATTGTATTTTGACAATAATTATAATAATTATTATTAAAGTAAATCATTATTAAATAAAGTGTTTTTTAATTCAGTTTTGTTTCATGTCCTAAAACTTTGTTATATGTCCAACATTTTGTTTCTAAAATCCAAAAATAGCACTTTTTGTTTTATCTCCAAAACGTTTTTTCCAATATTGAGGCATAAATCCAAATTTGAGATAAGAGTTGCTCAATAGAACTAATTAAAGGCTAAACAAGGATATTGTTATTAATGTTTAATTAAGTTTTCATTAAAAAACAAATAAGATATTTAATGTAAAAGTTTCAAACCCGTTTATCTCGATTATAACATATTGGACATAGAACAAATCAGGTGACGTATTACCTGTATTTTTAATGGAACGCCTTCGGGTGTTTCAAAACGCGTAAAATTTTGTTGTTTCTGAAATAGGACTAGCATTAACAAAAGGATTTTACCAAACAAATATTATTTCTTGTTGAATTTCTTCATTGCTGCTGTTTTTTGAGCCCAATTAAACAAACGCTGTGGAGTAGTGATAGCCTTTTCTGATGGCAACTTGCATGGGATGCCAAACGTTTTATATTACCTCCGAGTTCATCACATGGTACTTTACCATGCGCAGTAGCATGAACATGTAACTCCTTGCTTGCTTGTGATAAAAATAGATTTAGAAATTTAAAACGATTCTTGAAATGCTGTGACGTTAAAAAATTTGGATACCGACAAACATTTTTTTTCAAAATGTTTATGTAAAATATTTTGAAATTTATAAAAGGCTCAGTATCGGAGTCGGTTATCGTGACAAGGCTTTCATGTTTTACTTCTCGTTCTTTATTAAAGTAAAAAAACGCATGTTAAAAGGGTGGCTTGAATGTTGTTCCAGTGGAAAGTTTGGGCAGCATCTTGAACTACAAAACTGTTTTCTTTAAATTAAATTTTTCTTTAATGATTTAAAAAAAGATGCTGGCTGATCCACAATAAAGGCATGTGGTTTTAATACATCAAGGCCAGCGCATAGACGATCAGTGCCAATACAAGCTTCATAAGTTACACTTTTTATTTGAATTAGATCAAAACCCATTCTTAAATGATCCTTAATTATTCTTATACCAGGGCAAGATTTGCAACTTTTTAATTCCCACCTTCTTGAAACTTTCCACTTTTTTGCTATTTCATTGGAAATCTTTAGAATTCCTCTAGTTCTTCTATGGTTTAAAAGCTCAATGGAGTTAAAGCAGTAAACGTTAATAATAAATAAAATAAATTATTTACTTAAAAACAGCTATGCTTTTAAACAAATATTAGAAATATCAGATGCACTAGTATAGATGTGCATATTGCTAAAATTAGAATTTTATACTCTATTCGAATCTGCAAAAAAAAGTTGGGGGTGCAATTAAAAAAAAATTACCGATGACGTCATAGCTTCTACAAAAATGGCGTCAAATATAAAAATATTAAATAATCGAAGTAATTGAAAAACAAAATCGACGTGTTCAAGTATTTTTTTTGAAAAATTAAAGGAAACTTTTAAATAAATTTGTTCCATACTTTTGCCGGTTACTGTATACAGCTCGTTCAGACTAAAACCGAATATATCTATATATATATGGGGCGTGGCCTCGCCTCCCTCCAACGCGCGACACAGTAGCTAAGCAAATAGACTGCATCGCTAATGAGATTTTTTTCATTATTATCATTTAATTTTTTTAAGTCCTTACCTGCTCGACCTTTCGTCATGTCGTTTATCACACAAGCAACTGTGACGCGCCTTGGAGGGAGGCGAGGCCACGCCCCATATATATATATATATATATATAGATATATTCGGTTTTATTCTGAACAGGCTGTATATGACTTCATTAATTTTTATTTTACTTTAATAATTATTAAAAACATATATATTTTTAGCTTGTGAGCAGCACTATCATAGACACATACATACAATATGACAATTACATCACTCAATGTGGTTGATGGGACAATAGGAAGAAAAAAGTTGTAAGTAAAAAATACTTTTTTATCATCTTAAATTCTATTATACGTATCTAAATTATTTTCTAGTTGAATATTAAATTGTTCCAATGAAACATTAAATTTTAACAGCCTGGTTTAAAAAAAATCAAACCTTATACAATTTTTGTGTGGTGTACGTTCCATTCATAATACTATTGCATCACTGTTATCGTTTATATAAATTGGTGTTAATTTATTAGTATTTATTGATCATTACCATAATCATGCGCCGCACAGTGCCGCAGTGGCACATAACCCTCATAACTGGCAAATAAAATAATGTTGCTAAAACAAATTATGTATGATAAATATTTATAGAACTAGCTCTTGTAAACATTAAAATATTTTGTTATTTTAATGAGTCATTTTTACTAGTATTTTATGTGTTTTAAACGTTAAATATTTCAATAAAAAAAATTAAGAAGTCATCTTACATCATGTGAAGAGAAATATTTTAGTAAATGTATTATAGTATATACGAAGTCAATTGAATTAAAAATCTACCTTATCAACAACAACTTCCACACCAAAACAAAGTTTCTTGCATGGCGTCTTATAAGACCGCTGTGACTTTTTAATTACAACAAACAGTGATTGAATTGGTTTTTTAAAACAGTGCTGCCAGTATACGAACAATTAGTGTTTGTTGTTGATTTAAGTCTGAAATGTAAGTTGAAATATTGCAAATAACATCATAGTAAATTTTTTTAACCTACATAGTAGGTTCGGGTATTCCCGTACGCCATTATGATAGTCCTAAAGACTATATTTGCGGCTACTGTCCAGGTTTGCAGCACTGAATATTTACTATAGACCACATTTTTTATTTTGTTTTAATTTGTTTTATGCTATTATTTATGTTTGTATACCAAATATATTGAATTTGTTACCTTTTTTAATCTAGTTTATGCATGTACGGTAATACCCGCAATGGAGGGTAATGCCGAACATAAACCGTTTTTTGAAAAATACATTTTTGCATTTCTGGCTTAATATCAAGGTATTTGTTTCCACCGGATATCACTACAGTGAATCTTAGGCTACGCCCACAACAAATTTTGAAGCTATATCTTCCCAGGTGTATCTGTAATTAATTTTAATGCTTAGGTGTACGTCAATACCCGCCGTTCCCTATAGTCTCGTATAAGGATTAACTTAAAAACAATGCTTTTTATGTATTTTTTTAGAATTAACGTGGACTTGATGCAGACTTGTCATTAATTAGGCCGATGCTATTGGTCATTGTCATATTCTTATTGGTCGATTATTTCCCTAGATACAAATGCATAATTTCGGCCAAATAATTTCGCACAATAAGTGGGACGAGATAGTTGTGTAGCATCGATTGTCGATATTATATGAGGCGCCGTTTGTGCCATAATTAATCTCTCCTACATATATTTAATTTTGCATATATATGTATTTTTTACAATATATATATATATTTATTTCATATATTTATACATGTTTTCTATATATATATTTATTTTTATAAATATATATATAAATAAATAAATTTATATTTAAATGTACAAATATATATTTGTATTTGGTTTTAATATATTTATAAAATTCGACTTCACCCGTTGACCGCTAGAGGCGCTGCTCAACTGATCAAATGTGTCAACGCTGTAGCTATAGGGCCTCACCGAATTAGCCAATGGGAGGTTTTGTTTACTTATTTAAAATAACGGTAAACATTGTTTTCCCTGTGTTGTCATTATTTTATGATACAAAGATTTAATTTAAGTGTGTGTTCTTTGGGTTTAGGTATCTTGGATTTAAAGCGCCTTTTAAACCGCTGTTGTATGGTTTTATTTAGGGAGACACGTATGTAGATACTCGCAATATTCCGTTTTATTAATAATTTTAAAACACGGGGTAAATTTTTTTAACCACGCAGAGACCTTGCAGAACAAACCGTTATTTTAATTCGTAAACAAAAGCTCCTATTGGCTAATTGAGCAGCGCCTCTAGCGATCAAATGCTGAAGTCGAATTTTATAAATATATTAAAAGCAACTACAAATATATATTTGTGCATTTAAATATATATTTAAAAAAATAAATATATATTCAAAATTATATATATATTGGAGAGTTTAATTATGGCACAAACGGCGCCTCATATTATTAGGTTGCAATTATTATATATTATTTTTATTATACATCTTCGTTATTTTTTATTGTAATTTTTTATAGTGTGTAGTTTTGAGTTTATATATTATTTTGTCTTTAAAATGGTATACAGTAAAAACTGCGCACCTTAAACATATTTTTAATAATAATCATACGTTTATTTGTTCAAAAATATTATAAAGACAATAAAAACACAATTACACTTGAAATCTATAAATATTTGTGCACATATAAATATACATGTTGTGAGAAATATAATTTTATTATAATTATATATATATTTAATGTCGTATCGCACGCCTATGGTCCACAAAGGAAATGCCGCAGATGTGTAAACTTTTAGATTTTTTGCTGTTTCAATTCGTATATACTATACGTATACGTACAATCGAAATTATAGAAGATACGCTAATGCATCATTACTATTTTTATCTTTATATGAATATAGGATGATAATATCATCCTTATCTTTCTAAATATTACACAGTACAAATTTTTTTTTTCCCTCCCATGAAAAATTTCTATGGATTTTGAAATTAGATTAAAAAAATGATTCCCGTGTCTCGGCGTTTTTTCAGATCACGTCATTTTTTTTGTGCGAGTGCGATCCAATAAAATGTTATCCACGGTATTCGGCACATATTTTTATGAAAAATTTAATTACTAAATAAATGGACAACCATTAAAATTATTTATTTATTTTAAAATTATTTTAATTATATACAGGGTGTTGCACATTTACGAAATACGGGTGTTTCACATTCGTGGTCCATTGAGAGTTTTTGAGGATCGGCAAAAGATATCGATTTGAAAGCGCTTAGGGGCATTAATTACGTGAGACAATTTTGGCGATTTTTCGACGCCCCCCCCTCCCCTTGGTGAGATGTCGTGAGATTTTGCTCGACTCCCTCTCCCTCCCCTTAATCTCACGTGAGATTTTTTAAAATGCATGGTTTTAATGTAAATAAGTTAATTTGTGCTTGATTCCATTATATTTATTAAAAAAAAAACAATTTGCTTATAATTGTTTACTTAATTTAACCCAGTTTTCTCTCAATTTTACACTCTTTCTTTCGAAAAAAAAATTACGTGATTTGCCGAGACCCCCCTCCCCCCACGTGATATTTGGTGAGGTTTGGGTCGACCCCCTCCCCCCCTAAACACCTCACGTAATTAATGAACTGCCCCTTATGTTATCCACGGTGAGTGTTGGGAAAATTTCACTTTTCACTTGAAATTTTCATGACATTTATGAAATTTATTAAAATTTCCTAAATTTCTGAAATTTCATGAAATTTATGAAATTTATTGAAACTTTGAATAAATTTCAATCACTTTTGTAATATATTAATATTGAAATAAGCCCACTCGGGGACCATGGCAAATTGCCTCTCTTACCTCCTACCCCTCTGTGGGCCCCTGCACCAATAACATAAATACCTATGTTTACCACAAATTTCTTGAGATTTCTTTTTAAAATATTTTTAAAATTACTAAAACTAAAAGAGATATAGCACTTTTTGGTAAGCTAATGAGATTGTGTCACTTTCATTATTTTATATTTATATATATATTTATTGTTTTTAAATATTTTACTGAAATTTTACGAAAATTGAAGAAACTTCATCAAAATTTTATGAGCCAAAGGCATTTTTTATCCGTTTTCCGATGCAATTATAGCAAAAGTAAAAGTTTAAATTAATCATGACTTTTAAAAAATTTTAAAGTCTGATTTAATTTACAAATTAAATTGGTAACTGAATTAAATTATTTAAATTAATTTATGCATATACATAACGTCGTTTATCTGACAAAGTGGCGTAACTCAAAAAAATTCGTTTTTGAGTTATACCAGAATAATCACCAAAATCGACTTTATAATCTTACAAACTGGCGTAGCTCTATAATAAATAGGTACAAATAAAGTTTTGGCATAAAGAAGTTTCGGCGTAACTAATATTTTTGCATTTTGTGTGCCGTACAAACTGGCGTAATTCAATTCACACCGTTTTGTTTAAAAATGAGATACGCCTCTTTGTCAGATAAACGACGATAAGTAACAATAATTACTTATAGTGTATTCAAATCCAAGCCGAACTAAACAAAAACGCCCAGACGCTTGATAACTCGTTTTTATTGTCGATTCGGAATCTGTTGTAAATTATTATTAAAGGTCCCAGGGGAGGCCACATATGAAATTTATGCGAAATTTTCAGTAAATTGCGAAACTTTCAATGAAATTTCTGAAACTTTCATAGGCAATGTTGAAATTTTCGGATTGAAAATTTCATTTGAAATTTTTAAAAATTTCACTTTTCCAACTAAATGAAATAAAAAATTATGAAAATTTCAACTGTCCCAACCCTATCCACGGTATTCGGCACATATTTTTATGAAAAATTTATTCACTGAATAAATGGACAACCATTAAAATTATTTATTTATTTTAAAATTATTTTAATTATATACAGGGTGTTGCACATTTACGAAATACGGGTGTTTCACGTTCGTGGTCCATTGAGAGTTTTTGAGGAACGGCAAAAGATATCGATTTGAAATTTTTAAAGCGCTTATAATCCAACTAAGCCTATTTTTCTAAAATATTTTAAACAAAATTCCATTTCCAAATTGACCGGAAGTGACATCAACTTTGTTATTTTAAATAGAACACCCCATATATTTTTACATTTTTAAATTCTACATACAATTTTGAGTAAAATTACTATACCATGTTCTATATCTAAAGTGAATAGTTTTCGAGTTAAAGTTTCAGTTAAAATATGACAAATGCGCGTCAATCAAGAATAACCTATAACTTTCTTGCCATTAGGTTTGCCGAAATGGGGG